GAGAAGGCCCTGGGAGTGCTGGTGGACAACAAGTGAAGCATGAGCCAGCAGTGTGCCCTTGTGGCCAAGAAGGCCAATGGTCTCCTGGGGTGCATTAGGCAGAGTGTTGCCAGCAGGTCGAGGGAGGTGATCCTACCCTTCTACTCAGCCCTGGTGAGGCCTCACCTGGAGTACTGTGTCCAATTCTGGGCTCCCCAGTACAAGAGAGGCATGGCGCTACTGGAGAGAGTCCAGCGGAGGGCTACAAAGATGACGAGAGGGCTGGAGCATCTCTCCTCTGAAGAAAGGCTGCAAGAGCTGGGCCTGTTTAGCCTGGAGTAGAGAAGACTGAGGGGCGATCTCATCAACGTGTACAAGTATCTGAAGGGAGGGTGTCGAGAGGATGGGGCCAGTCTTTTCTCCGTGGTGCCCAGCGACAGGACAAGAGGCAACAGGCAGAAACTGAACCACAGGAAGTTCCATCTGAACCTGGGAAAAAACTTCTTCACTGTGAGGGTGACAGAGCATTGGAACAGGTTGCCCAGAGAGGTAGTGGAGTCTCCTTCGCTGGAGATATTCAAAACCCATCTGGACGTGATCCTGGGCAATGTGCTCTAGGTGACCCTGCTTGAGCAGGGAGGTTGGACTAGATGATCTCCAGAGGTCCCTTCCAACCTCAACCATTCTATGATTCTGTGATTCTGTAATTCGGGGAAGCTGCTGCCTGATTCCTGACCTACTTGGCGCAGCAACTTTGTGGAATCATCTTAGGATAACTTCATTTCCGCTTCTTGGCCTCATCCTCCCACCGTCTCTACCCTTCTTGATTCTTCCTTTCCCATGTTACAAGATAGATCTTTTCCAATGATTAAAACCAAGTTGAGAAGAAAGGATGACTCTTGGATATCTTGAGGCTCTACTAGTAGTGGACACAAATGACAGAGACAGAAGACAGTAGGGTTAAAGACAGTACAAAGTGGAATATAGCTGTAATAACAAGGTGACGTTTGAATTTAGCCAATTGTAAGACTATCATTAGTAGCAATTCTCCAGTGCTTGGTACTATGTTGTGTAGTTGTTGCTGTTACTAGGTGAGTAGTACAGTCTACAGTACGGTAATGTTGATTGTAAGTGAATATTTCTCTTACAAGTTTTTCCTGAGAATAAGCATGTAGCACGGGATATGTATACTACTGAAGAAGTGTATCTTGTGCCTCAGCTTTCTTTCTGTAAAGTAGGGTAGGGCTTAACTCAATTATCATGAGTCACGTTTCAGATCATGAGGCAGAAGACTTTAGCATGAAGTATGACTATCTGCAGTAGGCTTGGCCTTTAATGACTGTGTCATGTAGCTCTAGTATTTCATATGTATATATGTAATTTAGTATATATATGTATAGTTTTTCATCAATTGTAGGTATCGGCGGCTGTCAGCATTCCTTTCTGGCAAAAGATTCTGCAGCGATTTGGCAAGAAATGTGCAGCATATGGGATTTCGGTAAGCAAATCCTCAGGGAAAAAAATCTGCTTGTGCTCACAAAATGTGACAATTGGATCCTCTTCAGGAGCTGTTTCAAATGCTCGTAACCTCAGGCTACAAAAAATTTTGCTTAGTTTCAGAGTTTATTTTAAATTATTATACTAAATTTCACACAAAATCCAAGTTTTCAAGAAAACTTTTGAAAAATGGCCTGATGTTGAAGGAAGATCCCAGCTGCTTTAAGAATCTGAACAAGCTCTGCATTTCACTGCTGTCATAAAGGTGAACCCCAACAAAATTTTGTAGATTCATATCCATGTTGCCTCAGATAGAAAGTCTGTCTGTTGTAGAAGGCTTGTTTTTTATCTTTGTGGTTCTCAGCTGACCAGATTTGTAATTTGGTCAGAGACGACGAAAGAGAAATGTGTTCCATATTCTTCTCTAAAAAAACTAAGCAGATGGGGGTGCCCGCATCCCTGTGAGCAGAGATGGAAGGTTATTAGTGAAGTATAAGAAATAGATGACCTACCTGAGAAAAGAAGCCTGTTTTAACTTTGGCACAGATCTACAGAGCCAACTCAATGAGCCTGCCCTGGTCTCTGATGGATCATTTTAAGTCCCTCACTTAGTGCCAGATAGCAGCAACTTTCCATCCTCATCCTCAGTGAGTCATTGTGTAGGCCTCCCCATTTTCCCGTTTACCTTCAATTGCTTGTGAAAGAGGAAAGAAGAAAATTGACTGCTTTGTGGACAAACAAGCATGAGGACTTGGAAAATCCAGCCTGAGGCTGTATGTCAAAATCTGAACAGCTCCAAAAAACCCAAGGGTCAGTTGACAGTTGCTGAATATAATGGAATAATTATAATTTTTTGAAATTAAAAACTGTCTGTTGGAAGGACTTCCAAAGAATCAGAAGTAATTTTAAAATACAAGTTCCAAATATACTGAATCGTTAGGTGTTCTGAAGTGAGCATCTGGAACTGGGTCCCATCCTCCTTTCTTTTTACCGCTTGAGCAAAGAGAAATGTCAAAAGCAATGTTGGACCTTTGTGGGAATGCAAATTTCCTCCTTAGGAAATCTCCTCCTCTGCCTACTCAGCTAAGAAAAATGCTTTCTTCAACCGACTTGACTCTATAAATTCAGTTTAACATGACTGGAAAGTCTCTCAGTACCTCTGTAAAAGTGACTTAACTTAATGTTCTTGACTGTATTTCTTGACTGTTTCTTGACTGTATTATGATCAAAGTGGGGACTGGATTGAAAAAAGTCACTTCTTTATTTCACCTGGTAGACATTTCTCAAGGGATTGTGAATCCGATTCCGTGACGGATTTTGTGTCAGGCAATATATCACAGGGGCTTCCTGTACTACCACCTTATGTGATCTGTACAGATAATCTGTCCTTTCTTACTGTGAAATAAAATCACGTCATTCAAAGTTCCTATGTTTGTGTCACTGGAGGGCTGTGTTCTTCTGGGAGAAGAAAACAAGAGTTTTCCCCAAAACCTTATTCAGGTTTCAAGGTAAAGATATAATTTTAAAATCAGTTTTCTGAAAGATTTAAAAGATTTTCTGAAAGATTTTAAAGAGGCTACTCCAAAATCATTTTCCCTGGTAAAGCAGGAAAAACCCTTAAGTGTGTAGAGGGCAGAGCAGACAGACAGATAGCAACAGTCTTAGATTCCTGCCATTGGTATGGCGCCCTTTTCACTCATTTCCCCACAAGAAATGACCAGTGGTCTAAGTACTTACCAAGTATTTAAACTTCCTGGAAGTTTAGACTAGACTCCCTGGAAATATAGGGTCATACCCAAGTAGGAACCTTGACAGAATCCTTCCCATGACTGGGTTGATGCACAGGCTAAAAATGTTTCTCTTCTGTTTTTTGCTTCTGCTTCCATATGCTTTGATGCGTTGAGGTCGTCTGCTCTGACCTCATAAGGCAAAGTTATTTGATGACTGGAAGTGGAGTGGCCAAGAGAAATCTTAAGAAGGGGAACAGCTCAGCCCTTTGCCCTTCTATACTCTGAATAGTTGGTTTGGTTTGGGTAAGATGTTTAAAAATGGAAGATCTCTCTCTTTCTCTCTCTTACGCTTGAGTATTAAAGATTCTTGGAGATGTTTTGTGTGTGTCTGTGTGTTTGGCTCTTATTTGCAGACCTAAATTTGCTGTGCAAGAAACCTCACTGTTCTAGCTTCCATCCTAGCCAGTGTTAGCTTTTGGCTAGGGGTTTTGGAGGATTCGTGGGTTTTTGTTTGTTTGTTTGTTTGTTTTTAAAAAGGAAAGACAATCTTTAGTCATTCCTGACACATTTCACACATATGCAGTTATCGGCCTGCCCTCTGTCAGCACTGTTCAGCATGGAGATATTCCCTTGGATGAATGCTGACTATGAAGCCCCTTTGCCACTCTTCCATTCCCATTTCTGCTGAACATCTTAGCTGCATCTTCTCTTGACCTGCCCTTCATATGTCCAGCAATGTGCTACACAGGTCAGTAGCACCCTCAGTATGCCGGTAGGGTCCCCTGCCATAGTGCTGATAGCGCATGAATGGAAGAAACACGGTCACTCTAGGATGTCTTTTTTTTTAATGACTCGCAATGCAGCAAGCCTGTGTCTAGGGAGCAAATTGCCAATACCAGAGTATTTTTTGCTTTACAAGTAGGAAAGAATGAGATGCATTAGCTGTTTATTGCTGCAGGAACACTGCCCCCATGATTGCACTGCTGTCACATGAGTGAGACTTTAGGGCATTGTAGCCTCAGTCCTGTTGGTCATGCTTCTCTTTCAGTAAAAAATTACAATTACAATGATTATTATTATCGATCTAGAATTTTATTTAAGTGCTTTGGTTTCTGAGTGGGTACCCCATGTGGAGCATAAGCTAGTGATAAAATTGCTTGTAGGCAACATAAAATCTTGTATTGCTGGAGTGCTCTCTTGTGGTGAAATAACGATTTTGCCACAACACTGGCCTAATGCAAAGATAATCTGTCTGTGCTGGGAACTTGCAGTCAGGAAAGGTTATTTTCTGCCTCCTTAGGTTAAGAGCAAATGCCTTAGATGGGAAAGCATTTAAAACATAAACGTAATGGATTAGACTCCAAGACTCCAGAATCAGTTCTCTAACAGAACTGTAAATAGCAATGCTTAGAGGAATCACTCTCTATGAAAGCTCTGCTCATACTCTCAGTCGCCAAGCTGTGAGTATAGAGGACTGAAACACTTAATGTTAAACTAATCCTACATCACTAAAAAGCCGTGTAGGTAAACCTCCGGTTATGGATTCTACATGTGCTGTACTTGTGGTTCACAGGCGTAGGAGATGGAGCGTGGGATGGGTACAGGACAGCTGCCTGTATGCATTCAATCAGCATTTAAAATAGTGGGTTTTCAGTTCTGCAAGCCCTTTGTCTCAAGCTCAAGTTAAGAAAATCTGGTGGGTTTAAGTACCCCCAGTAAAGAAATCCTGAACATCCCACATTAGTTTTGAGGACAGCCTTAATGACTTGGGCACTGTAGTGAGCATATCTACCTGTGTGGAGTGGGAGCAAGCCACACTGCCTTCCCGGGGTTAAGTACTAGCTAACTATCCAGATTACTTTAAAGCTGTCATTGGAAATGAAGGTGTAGCTAAACTCTTCTTTGTTCAAGATTCGATTTGACCTGTGAAATGGGATATTTACTGTTTAAAATGACCATTGAGCCCCTATCTCTCCCCCTGAAGTGCGGTGTACTGACATTTCAAGGCTTTGTCCCTAATAGGAAATTAAATAGTGCCACTGGCCTAGACCTAGTAACTGGAGTTTGGTCATCTGTAACATTAAACTGTCAGAAAAATCTTAGCACAGGTTGATTAGCAATTTCCCAAGAAATATCTCGACCAGTTTGGGAACTAGCTCACTTCAGGGACTCTTCACAATAGATGTTTATGTGGTGACCCTTTTTTTGGAGACTTTGACAGTTTAGTCATATGAACGTGGCAAGGATCTACCGGTTGGCCTCAGGGCTGATGAACAGGCCCCTAGGTCTGTTTAATTCACTAATGCAGCTATAGACTACTGCTACAACTACTACTGCTAACAGAGAAGGCAGTAACAGTGCTTGTCCTGTTTTTCTCTGATTCTTCTGGATAGCCAAATCAGGTAGGAAATGCCGTTTCACCAAAATAGGTGAGGTGTTAGACTTTTCCCTCTGTGAAGTGTCATTTCATAATGTCGGTCTGATATTTTGAAGGGAACCACATATACACTGTTAAATACTGTGTACTGTAAGTAATATGTACTATTTTTCTTCTTCCTCAGTGGATGATTCCTTTTGCAGTCATGCTAGTGACCATACCAAACCTGATCTTGGCGTATTTTGTTGCCTTTGTCTCGGGCCTGAGCATTGCAGCCTCTCTGCTGTTGCCATGGTAGGAGAATTTTGCATTTGGCATGGGGAAGGGGTATATGTCTAGACACGTGTGTGTACTGCATGGAGATCGCCTCTCAAAGAGGCAGAATACGAGAGAACAGTCACCTCGTCCAAGAATCTGTTTCTGCTTTTAGAATAGAGGCTATTCGTGATGAAGTGTGCTTTTTGTACATAAGTGAATGTAGAGGAAGCAATAATCTAAGTAGCCAAAGAACTCGTGATAGCAGTAAATTAGTTGTTTATGTTTGGTTTCTAACAGGACACTTGGTTTTCTACAGGAATGATGAAGTTGGATATTGCATGCAAATCAATTGATGCTAAGCAATTAAGAATGTAGCAGAGGAAACGTAAAGCAAGCTATGTATCCCTGCTGAGCAATCCTGTGGTATAGATCAAATGCCAAAGTGTACCACAAGGATAAAAGAAACCGAGAATTCAAGGTCCTTGGCTCTTGATGACAGAAAACATGTGGGAAAAAATTACTCAAGAAGGAGCAGGATGGGAGATTTCCTCTCTATAGGAAATAATTGCTGTTTGGGTCAAATTGACCAGAAAGCAAGGCTGTTGCTGAAAGCACTGTTTTGCATTCCTCATTCGTCTAGTTCCCTGAAAGCTGTGAAACTCCGAGACATCAGGGAAATACAGTTTAAGGCAGGCTGTCAGAATACCTGAACTTTTCTGCCTAGAGGGTCAAAAAGCCCTTTTTTCTAACAGTAAATCATGAAATGTTTTGAAAATAAAATATCAATTTATAGTTGACTTTTGAGCTGCTTCCATTCTGATTCCCTATGACCAAAATCTGTCTCTCTCAAGTAGGGGGAAAATGAGCCCCATTGGTTTCTGAAAATTGTTTTGTTAGCTTGTCGAAAGAGTTATTTCAGAATAAGACTACTCAATATTCAGTCTCTTGAAATCTAAGAAACATTTTTGATTCTTTTTTAACATCACAACTTGTGATTGGAATGAAAGTCAGTCTACAGTCACCTCCTAGCAAGTGTTTGACAGTTTGGTGTTTTTTTTTTTTAGCTTGTAATGCATGGCTGTGCATTTCTTACAAGGACTTTTGTCCTCCTGTCAAGCAGTAGGACTTTTTGAATTGGATTATCTCATGTGCATAATTAATTACATCAATCAAATCTTAAAAAAAAACAAAACTTCCAGTAAGTCTAGACATGAGAAGAGATTTTGGCATAACCTTTACTCTTATCTTGCTCATCTCTAGGTCAATGCTGCCTGATGTTGTTGATAACTTTCGCCTGCAGAATCCCCATGGAAAAGGACATGAAACAATTTTCTATTCCTCTTATGTTTTCTTTACCAAGATGTCAACGGGGATTGGCTTAGGAATTTCTGCAGCAGGCCTGGAGTAAGTAATATTGTGTTTCCACTTAGTTTCTCTATGCTGAAAGCGTTCTGAGGTCATTCTGCCTTTATCCTGTGGGTTTTATTGCCTTTTGCCATATGGCCGAATGCGCTGGCAGCTCCAGTTGGCTGAACGCTAAACACAGGATTGTCATCACCTAGGCCAGACTGATGAGCATTAAGTCACCTGCCCTAGCATGTTTCAGTTCAGAAAGACCTGAATTCCTACTAGATTTTCTTTTTTTCCAAATTAGTTATGTAAATTTTAGTGGCTTAGTTATGTAAATTTTAGTGGCTTGTATGAATAAAGAACTGAACATAAAAGCTTAGTGGGTGCCGATATACCTGGCGATACAACTGTTTTCTTAGTCCCTGTTGCATCTGGATTAGGTTATATCCACGAGCTTATAAGTCTTTACACAGGTTGGAGTGCTTTCGGGCAGCCTAGTGGCCTGTTCAGCACTAGAAGGATTGCTGATTCCTGCATGAATTTAGGGGACTGGACCCTGAACAGAGCGTCAGGAACAGGAATTTCCTCACAGCTCTGCCCATGACCTAGAGCATGTCAGTTTGGAGGATGCCTTGTGTTCTCCTCCTGCTGTTTGCCTTGTCTGTTCCAAAAAGAAAAGCAGATTGGGAAAAATGTTAGCCGTCTCCTGCCTGGTATTTGTATATGACTTAGTAGAAAGGACCTTTGCCTGCAGCTGTCAGGATTCAGCAGAGCACTCAAAGAACGGTCAGAATTCAGGTTCCGAAAGGACTATTTAGCCCTCGGCTCAAAGCTGGGTTTTAGTAAACAGAATCTTTTGCTTCAGTGCCTTCAGCAAAAGCTGCCAACTGTCAGGCAGTGCTTGGCTGGACATTTCAGCTCGGGAGTTTTAGATACTTACTGCTAACACCCTCATGTGCAAAAGGCTTTTTTGACGAAAGTTTTGACCAACATTATGAAGTGTGGAGGTCAGATATTGCTTTGCAAGTTGATGAAGAAGACCACGTAATTGGACAGCTCTTTTGGATAGGTGCTTGACAAGAAGTAATCTTTACCACCAAGAACCTCTAATCTATTCTCTGTGTTTACAGGTGATTTTTAAACTTTCCTTTGTTGAGATTAGTTTATCTGCAGCAGAATATCAGATCCCAGATTCTAGCCATGATTAAACTGCCTGCCATTGCTGCTATGGTTTGAAAAGTGAAGAACCAAAATGACAGAAGGAAGGCTGAGTGAGGCCTACTCCAGGAACCACTCCTGGATGCCCTGTAACAAACCCTGACAAAATTTGGAAAAGATGCTAGAATACCTTTTCCCTCCCCAAAAGTAAACAAAACCAAGTTTCCCTATTTTTACTGACTATTTAGGAAGAGCTTAAAACAAACAAACTGCTTTTCATCAATTAGCTCCATGCCATTCCAGTTAGCTCACAGTAATTTGTCAAAGCAGACGTTTATGGGAGAATGTAGAATATAGAGTGACAGCAAAAGAGCTGCAGCTTTCATAGGTTCATGTTCAGAGGGAAACAAACTCATTCCACAAATTGGGGGTGCAAATTGAAGTACATCCGCAGTTGTAGGACTGTGTGGAGGCCCTCAATCAACAAAGTTTAAGCATGTACCTAACTCTAAGTACTTGAGTAAATTTGTCTTTGTTGAGCAGAGTGCTTAAGTGTGTGCTTAATTTGAAGTTAAGTGTTCTTGGTGAAGTTGGTAAGATTATTTGCATACTTCTAAAGCTGAGTCTAAATGCTTTACTGAAAATTAGTAAGAATCATGTATCAGAACAATCTCCTTAAATGGGATTCCATGTTCCTCTTAATAGTTAAATGCTATACAGTAGTAATGAGTAAACACCAAGGTAATGCAGTTATCTGAAAAAGAGCACAAACATGAGATTGGGATAAATGGACAAAGCCCCCAAGCCCTGTTGAAATTTGTGGGTAATTCCATGTTGACATTACTGTGATTAGGGTGACACCAACCAGATTTGAAACACAGGAGGGAAAAAATAAGAGAGAGATGTACGAAGGAATGGGAGGAAAGTCTTAAAGTGTGTTGGGGGAAAGGGAGTGGCTTGGGAAGTGGGCCTTGAGTGGAACAAATATCTTTTAGATTTGGACCTATGCATACTACTATTATTTCTATTTATTTAGGTTTACCGGATACAAACCAGGTATTTGTAAACAATCCAATGATGTGATCCTCACACTGAAAATCCTCATTGGAGCAGTCCCTGCTATCCTCATCATTGTAGGTTTATTAATACTTCTCTTCTACCCAATCACAGAAGAAAGTCGGAAAGAAACAAAGCTTGCGCTTGAGATGTTAAGGTAGGTTTGAACTAGCAGCAAACTGCAGTAACATCACCGCAGCAGCTCACAGACATGCCAGGGAAAAATTACTAGCTACTAAATCACATCTCTGTATTCCTTAACACAAAAGAAAGCAACTCTTCTTTCTCTTAGCTGAAATATTAACTGAATAATTCCATTACATGCTCTAGCACCTTACTTCTGTAGTATAGTACTACCTGCTTAGAGGACCATGTATATGTTTTATCAGATATATCAGCTGCTGTGTTTTACTTTTCCTCTGGGGTGGCACATGAAGGCACTATTGTTATTCAGTGTTTCAAGTCAGAAATGAAGAATATTCTGTCCAGATTAATTTACTGGGGAAAATGTGAATAGTTATGATTTACTTGTAAATAGAAGAAAATGAGATTCTTGAGAGCATTGTTGGTATTTCTGGCACATAAGAAATGTCCAAGCCATTTTGGGGAGCGAGAAGGAAAGAGAGAAAAATGAAAGGAAGCTTTGAGTAGTTTTGTCTTTCTTTTTCCTCTCCTTTTCCCTCCTTCCCTCTCTGTCCCTCCCAATAAACTTTGGCTAGCTCAAAATCATCTACCTCTGACAAATGAAGACCCAGTCTACTGAGAACACACAGAAGAGTACCCTGTAGAACAGTTTATGCTGGTTGATTGATGGATTAAATGGTAGACTATGTCTATCGTGTTTTTATCATCCCAAATTACTAGACTTGGAAATGGACTGAGATACTAAGGGAATAATTCCAGTGCTTAAACATGGATATCTGTGACTACTTCATTGCATACTCTAAGGTATCCAAAATACCTTCATGGGGCTGGCTGATGTGACACAGGGCTTCTGAGACACTGGCTGCTTTCTTAAGTGGCAGCTGCAGGCCTGAAGGGACAGGCTAAGAGATGTAAAATAAGACTGGGTCCCTCCATTTAGGTACTGTAGTACTGTAATGTCTGCAACAACTGCTTCTTGCTGGTGATTCTCCGTTATCTTTGTTATTTCAAAATGCTAAGCTGTAGCCTGTTCAGTTAGTAATAAAAAACAGAAGTCTGCTCACATATGATTTGTTCTGCCTTTTACAGAAGGAACCATCAAAGCACAGAGAACCTTGATGAACACAGAGAGGACACCTTGGTGTAAAAGCTCTGTATGCAATGACTTTCCAAACCAGCCTCACATCCCACACACACAAACTCTGTGAACATCTTCTGGGTCACTTCCCTGCTCACATTTTGTCACAAAGGATAAAGGATGATTCTGATAGTCAGTGATGAATTCAAGAGAGGACATTCACCACTTAATATGTACATAACTTCATGCACTGTTCTAAAATAGACATTACAAATATTCAGGAACAGAATAGAAGCTATTGAAAGTTTTTTGGTTTTTTTGTTTTTTTAATGATAATGCAAAGCAAGGACCTTGTGGCTACAGGAGGTTCTATGGACTTAGGGGTTAAGGGGAAATAATGTAAATGTGATATACTGGGCAAATCTTAACTCAGTGAGATACATTCTTCTGACCTGAACTGACTCTGTAATCTTTGCTGGAAAGGGTATTCTTCATCACTTCTTCTGACTAATTCCTGTGTGATATTTTTCCGCTAAGAGGCTGGGGTGGTTTTCAGACACAGTCTGTACATATAAATTGCGCACTAGTATGCTTGGAAAGCACTTTGGAATCCTGAAATATACTGCACAAAGCTAGGATTTAGTTTCTTTTGAAATGAAGCAAACCACAGATGCAGACATGTTTTGAGAATTTTTCTCACAAAGAGTTTTTCTGAAAGAGATTTTGATGCAATGTAACTTTATAGATTTTATGTGACACAGAAGCTTACATTTCCAATTACTATTGATCTGGAACTCCTTGTTTCTGACACCTTTAAACTGGTCTTTGCCAGAACGTGAGTACTTGACATTTTCAAAAAATGACATCTCCAGTCAAGGTACCCAAAATCAGTAGTCCTTCCAAAAAATTAGCCTATGCAGTATGAATTTCTGTAACTTTGGCCTTAAGCAATCATGGTACTCATCCATTTCCATGTGGTGTAGGCTCTCTACCTCATAAAACACCACAGCACAGCTGTCAATCTCAGCTCACATACTGTTTTATAATAATGAGGCCACACTTGACTTGTAAATGGTGATTTTTTTGAGCCAGGGGTTTCATCCTGCATTAGATGCATTAACTGAAACCTCATTTCTACTATAGATTTGCACTGCAAACTGCATTTTGTAGATAAAAGAAACAGCTAACTTCAGGTACTTTCTGGGGCGTTTAAGTTCAGACTCCCGTCACTGAGCTTTTTTCTGTAGCCAGTGGAGAGAGATACTTCCAGCGGCTGATTCAAAGCGTGAGCTAAAATGACTAGACTCTGAACACAGATATCTAAAGTTGGAATGGAGAGTGATGAATCCAAGAGCTGAAGGTTTGTTAATGTGAGGAAATTAGCACAGCACAAGACGAGAAACAAATTTATAGTACACTGGCTTCTCTGTATCAGCACAGGGGGATGTCTCTATTTTGTACTAGAAGTGCCTTTAGAGGTATGGCTTGTTACTGTTTGGGAGCACTTGCTGCAGGCATTACTGGAGGCACAAATAATTTACTCCAGGCCATCTGGGAAGTAACTGATGGTGCTGGGACTGGAAGCTGCGAAGGCTTTCACAGAAAGATATTGTGAAGTAAAATCAGTGCATCCACTGGGTGTCTCATTAAGTTTAATAATGAAGCCTTTTCAGGCAAGTTTAAAGTCTAAGGCCTAATAAACTGTCCTAATTGGGCAAAGCACTTAAGCATGAGTGAGCTTTAAAGGCTATATTTTGGTACTCCTGACTGGAGTGTATGTGGGTAAAAGAGTTAACTGTGTTCAAGATTTCTGCTAAATTGATACCTAAGGCTGTTTTTTCAGTTCCAGTCTTGAAAAAAGAAGGTTTATATGCCTGGGGCATCTATGTTTGCACCAATAAATACCAAAAGCCTGTTTACAATTTTGAGTCTGATAGAATCTGAAATAATAGGTATACTGCATTTTGAAACAAGTAAATTATGTAGTAATGTACTACATGGCTCAAAACTCCTCAGCAAACAAATTTTTGGTTTGGATTTATTCTGTTACATTTATATCTTTCTGGATAGTCTTCTTTAAAAAGAAAAGCAGATGTCCCTGTAAGGGCTCTTTTTTTTTTTTTTTTAAATGGGTTAGATTTTCAGCTGCTGTAAATCTGCAGCTGCATGGCAGTAGATTTGTGTCAGTTTACATAAGCCAAATACCTAGCCTGGTGATAAAAGGGTTGCAGAAACTATCAGCTGTGATTGACTGGAGTATCTTCAAAGTGGTGTAAGACATTATTTCCAGATCAGTTGTGCAATTGATTGTAAAACTGCACAACACCCATCTGACTTCAGACTCTAGCAGGGTAAACTTTGCAGATTCTAAACTCTATTCCTTTGTTTCCAGAGAGAAAATGGTGATATTTAACAAAGAGAGATGCACACAATCCTCACTCTGCATATGGTAGTATTAATGGGAATTGCCAAAATAAAAAAGTTCCATAGATTAAATGTACTAGAGTATTTTTCTATTTTGAAAATGACAAATACTTTATTTGATTACCAGAGTTGTACTTCTGTTAATAAAATGAATGTATTTTTTCAGTTTAAAAATAACAAGCAGCACTGTAATGGAAAAACAAAGTACAGGGTAGGATTTTTGTAATTTTGTTTCTGAGGGCTCAGTGCTGATACTGTAAAATGAATGAACTTTTTGTATCTTCTTGTCACTTTTTAAAATGATGTATACTTGGTATATCTGTTCAGAACATGAGTGAGAGAAGTAGATTCTTACATTAACAACCATTCATATTAAATACTGATCTAATGTAAATCTTCTGACTTGCACTGATTGGTAGTAACAAGGGCCGGGTTTCATTCCCAGGGGGTCTCATTCAAGTAACACCCAAATACAGCTCTAAGAATATGGGAGACTGGATTAAACCAGCTAGGTGCCTAATGCACGGTATTTCTCCACTTGCACGCAAGCAGTTCCAACACATGGATTTACACTAATAGAGGGAGAAAAGGAAAGGATAACAGAGTTACACGTCACTGGATAGTCCCCCATAAGGCAAACCATGCCCGTTCCCTGCCCCTGCCGAAGTATACCGATGGTAGCCCACGTCTTCTATAATGAACTGATTGCTGGAATAGGCAGTAACTGAGTTAGTCACTAGTCGTTTCCTCTCGTTTCATCCCGCTCGTTGTTTGTGACAGTATTGAAAACTTCAAAGGTTATACCACCTTCCCAAGCATTACCTCAGGTAAGCAGGCTCCTTGGTAGTCACCACTGACTGCGTGGGCGAGCTGTCATCCTTGTCACTCCCTGTAAGAGGGGGTTGCTGTTAGTCACTGCTGCCAGCTGTGTCCTGCTGATCATGTTCTCCTACCCTGCTGCATTCGGTCTGCCCTTCAGCTTGCTGCCCTGGCATGGCTTAGGTGGATTAGATCATCCATGCTGAGTCCTGCACTTTAATAGGTAAATACCACCTCAGACATCTGTCTCTTGAGAGTTTCCGGAGTGAGGGACCTTAGGTTTCAGGTCACTGGGCTTCCAAGAGAGGCATTGGCGATCTGAGAACTAGTTCCTTTAGTCAGTCCTGCACCTTGTAAGAATGCCTGGTAGATGCAATCCTTGCTGCATCCTTAGGTCTCCATTTGCCTTCTTCCTTTCAAGTAAAATACTTGAAGTGGACAATGTTTTACAGCCCAGCCCTGCCCATGGTTTGGGCCCATAGTTTGTTGCTAAGTATCACTTCTTCACCTTCTTTTCTACTGTCTTTCTGGATTGTAGCTAGAAAATGCAAAAGTAAATCAATCTCCTTGAGAAGATCTTGAGGTGAGGGAAACTTAGGTCCTTTAGTACCTGCTATTTGTTGTCCAGCTCTTTAAAGACAAGGAAGAGTGGGCAAGTTAGTTCTAAGTCCCACAGGTGGTAGAGCGTAGCCCGTAGCAACGCAGCGTATAGTGGTCGGACACATACCTTGTATGAATTTTGTATCATAGTTACAGGAAAAACAAGCTCACAGCGGTACAATAGAGTCTGTTCCTTCTGAAGACTGCCAAGACTGATCAATGCAAAGGCCAGCTGAGTTCATAAAACCGGCAGCTGAGGGAGTGATGTTCTGTTTTCCTGCAATTCTTTTTGAGATCACAAGTTCTTGGTGCTGCACTGAATGCTTTTTTTTTTCTTTTCTCACCTTAACTCCCTGCAAGACTCTGGTTCAGATACCTCACCCGGGTGCTGAGTATTTACAAAATGGGTGTATGTTATAGGCTTAACGTATGAAAGTAGACAGCTTTCATATCACTTGACACCAAGTCTGCTGCATAAAATATGTTCCAAAGACAAAGAAAAACCACGTCTCCATCTGCAAGGCAGAGAAGACTTTTTGCCATGTTGCACCTGAGAATTTATGGTCTCTGAAGACACAAGCTGGCACAATACAACTGAACGAATAGTGGAGGGGGAATGGTCCCCACACTCTGCAGAAAAGGGTCAGCATAGTTTCAAAGTTTTTATAGAGCAGGATCTCTAACCTTAACCTGAGAGCAGCAGTATAAAAGGGGACGTCACTGAGAGCCTGGCTACTGTAAAACCAGCTGGCAGCATGTGAAGAAGGCAGGCTGGTTGGCTTGATGGTAGGGAAACAGGGAGCTTTGCTCTTGAAATCTTATTTCTGGAAGCAGAAATAAGATTTATTTCTTGTCCTGAATGATGTTAGACAGGACTATGAATTTCAGCTACTCTCTTCAGCTTTCTGTCCTCAGTAACGCTGCACTCTGCCATGCACGGTGACAAGGGACTGCTCAGGCCTTGTGGAGCTGATTGATACTCACTTGTTCAGAAGGTGGAGGCACACCTTCAAGACCGTGGCAGCCATCCCCTACCTGCCCATCTTTGCTGATGTCCGTGGAGCCGTTCATATTCAACACAGGATCTACAGGATTTCCTCTGAGTCTGAGTAGCCTCCGTCAAGGACTTTCATCATTATTTTTCCTAGAGGATGTTTTCACCTGCCTAAGGCCAGGTCAGGACAGCAGCTTATCATCATGAATATGGTACCAGATTTATGACAGTTGACAAGTTTCTGTCTTTGTATCTTTGAAATCACCTGTAGTCCATGATGAAACATTTCCTATGCATTTCCAAAACGAACTCACCCTTTGGCTATCTTCAAAGTCACCAAGAAGAATCTGCACGTTTGCCACGTCCAGCAGCTTCAGCAATTCCACCAGTGCTGACCATGTTGCATTCAGCATTTCAGTGGATACCTGTGCGCACTGACATACACGTGTGACAAATGCACAGATGTAGCCACCTCCAAACTCCTGGCAAAGTCTCAGCTCTGCTGAGCTGGTCAGGTAGAGAAATTCCAAAATTCCTGCTCTGTCTCACTGCGGTGAAAGAAGAGCCATAGGGCAAGCAAGCTCCCTCCAAAAACTCCGAAATCTTTTCTTAAAGGTTGTTGGATTGAGATCAATGACTGGGAGGAAAGGTGTTGGATTTACACACCTCAATGCCACATGCAAGGAAGCGGAAACTTAGACAATAAATTACATTTTTTAAATTATCAGATATTCACATGTTCAGATTTTGTTCTCCCTGACTCAGTATGTGAACCAGTGTTTATATAAAAGTGGATCAATGGAAAGAGCAGCAGCTTGGTACAAGAGATGATTAGTGACTGCAGCAAACAAGGTGGATTTCAACACAGCAGGATGAGTGATTCACCAGGAGCTGGACTGTCAGCAGAACCAATGTTATAAAGGTTAAGAAAGACATAATTTAATTGTTCTGGGTGTGCAATTGAAAGAACAAGGAGCCTGACAGAAGGAATGACAAGCAGTTAGAAAACATATTAGGATGTCAGCATCATCAGCGTTATAAGGTAGAAGTGAACGCATTTTGGCCATGGTGCTGCTAGTAACTAGTGTTGATTGTAGGCTCGATGTCTGCAGACAGTAATAAGCCAATTAGGAACTGTCTGATAGACCCAGTCTAAAAGATGAGAGCTGGTAGGAGAGCACAGGATATAATGGTTAGGAACTAACACAAATTATCCAAAGGGAAGCAATTGGGTAGTATTTTCTTTCACCTTTCAGACCCCACTGTGTTCTCACTGGTTACCAGCCCACAATATCATACGTGCTGGCTGCAGTGTGGCCCTGAGTAAAGGAAACTGCACACTAAATCCAGCACTGAGACGTGTTCTAGGGCAGGCTGAGTGAATCCAGAAGCGAACTGAAACTGGACATAGTTTTGGAGTAGCTGGGGTGGCACTTGGTGAGGACTGTGCATTGGTGTGCCCACGGTCCCCAGCTGGGAAGTTTCTCAGGTTTCCTAGAGAGCCAGATGTCTCTGGAGAAGTATTAAAGACTAGTATGAAAGAGGGACTCAGCCTGGGGGAGAGAGAAACCAGGGAAAGACCAGGTTTAGTCCATCAAGCCCATTTTGTGTTGGGCCTGGTCACTGCTGGAAGATGATACTTCTACCACCGGCTGTGGTTGGACACCCACTACACAGAAGATGGAGGTGCTAGGAGTGAAGACAGCATATCACCTGCCCACACCAACAGAAATAGGATGGAGGAAAATATTTCACTTTCCTACTTGTTCCTATATTGGAAGGAGTGGACTTTGAGAATTTTTGACTTATGAAAACTATAAATTACTAAAGGAAAGGAGGGAGTTCTGTCCTAATGCCACTGCTGGATCTAGTCTTGTTGTAGGTGTTAGAGAGAAACCTGGCTGTTGCACTGAGCCTGGATTCCCCCTTTAATGAACAGAGTGGTCTAGGAGAAATAGATTCAAATATTCATTTTTTCTCCAAGTTGAACAGAAAAAAAATCTCCTCTGCTCTTATTTCGTTTGGAAACCCAATAGTGGGTAGATGAAAACAAGTGATTTGTTTTCAGACAGATCAGTAGGAATAAAGCAATGGAAGAACATGGTGGGACCTTGGCAGCAGAAGCTATATTGGATTTTTAAGGTTTCTGGCTTCAAAAAGTTTGATTTTCTTTTTTTTTTTTTTTCATCTTTGAAACCTGGTTGTGAGAAGCCATTTACTTTGTGTTGCCATCTCACATTCTGCAGAGTGGAAGAGCCAAGGATCTTTGGATGAGATCTCTTGTCAACTGCTCGTTTTCATAGTGCATGCTGCTGGGCTTCATGGCTTTGGCTTTCTTCCCTTTCCTTCCCCCTTGTTAGCAAGGCAGCAACACAAAAATCTGAAAGAATGAAAAAGAGATGCTGACTAAATAGAGCCATCCAGCTGGAATTGTAGAATGCCTGAGAAAAAGTGAGATTTTTTTTCCTGAAAACAGCAAGTGATCTTCTAAAACTGAAAAAGAATATGTGCAATTCTTTCCTAACAATTCAGCGGATTTTAACTGTGACTCCTCTGCTGCTGCTCCGTGGTAGTATGAATACTAGGCCTAGAGTCTCATGTCCCTGGAAGAAAATGTGCTGCACTGGGCTGTGCTAATGTATGTTTGTAGGAGAATCTGGTCCCGTCACCCATCCCAGGCTTAGCCTGCACTTGACATGACAAACAAGGGAAACATTTTGTTGTTATTTTAACTATCTAAGGCTGAGGGGAGAGGGGAGAGGGAAGGAAGAAGAAACGGTCAACACAAGCGCAGAAAACCTGTCAAGGTCGGTTGTAAAATGTTCCCTTCCAAGTGATTTATACTATCTGTAACAACTACAGACTTCTCAGAGCAACATGGAAAAGGAAGTGCACCCTTAACATTGGCTTTGGCACCCTTCGTTTTCACTGGGTGCGGGTACGTGGTGAATACAAACCTGGTGCAGCCAGCCTACAAATGGCCAGAGCGGAGCAGAGTCGAAAAGCAAAGCAGCTCCTTAAACAAACAGCACCTCGTTTCCTGGCCTCTATCCCTGACTTGCACAGCAGTCTTCGGAATCGGACACTTTTCACTGTCCGCAGAAATGACGTAGAACGATTTAGCTGTGGTTGCCAATGAAGAACATCATTACTTCTCATTTCCTTTGACTGTTCTTTTGCATGAGGTAGGAAGATTACCATTTAATCCCGAGGCTTTTCTGGGATCCTCTTTAGCTCTGTTCTTTGAGAGGACTGGGGTAGTGGAGACAGGTAATGGATTTAGTAGGATAGAGTAAAAAGAGTTATAGATGTATCATCTGCTAGGAGGGAATATAACCCCCCCCCCCAAAAAAAAATAAATGGGGAACCTAAACACTAAGAAAAAAAAATAATTTAAAGTAGCCTAACAGAGGAGGGATAAAAATAACTCTTATTGACCAAGGACAACCTGATCTTATAGTGTCTGTCTGTCTAAAAGAACAAGTAGACTTGTGGTATCACTGGACACACTTCCAAAGTGTTGGTGGGCTGGTGTACCGGTCCCTACTCAAGCTCTCAACAGGCTGACATGAAAAGCTTGATCAGCTAGCAGCATATATGGAAAACAGGAATAAGAGTCAATTTATGGTGCAAACCATGCCATTTAATAAAGAATATGAACATGAAAATCTTGTGAAAGCAGTTTCTGTAGTTTCTGTAGTTCTGAGATGAAATGCGATGGCTTTTTTTCTCTTATCTGAGCGTACGTCCAGGTTAGCCTACAATGATTCTGAGACCCCTTGGGCTGGTCCTGTGAAAAACACTAGCATATTTAACTGACTGATTTTAATTAGTGTGTAAACGCACACTAGCTTTGTACAAGTTTGTTTGCTACTGCTGCGTTAAGTGCTCTTAAACAATTTTAGCAATTCAGAACGTATTTTTCTGAAACTATTGGGTAAACCACCATCCCAGCTATGAACATAATTCAGTCAGGTCTGAAGTATTTTTCCAAAGCACTTCTGAATTCTGCCTTTTACACTAAAAACAAGGGCAAATTCAATCAATAGGTGGAAAAGGCAAAGCCTGATAGAAGGTTGTAGCCATAGCACAAAATTAAGCTACGGAATTGACAATTTCCAACCAAAAGCAGAGCATGGTCTGAAGATGGAACAGAGATGGATAGATATGTGGAGTGTAGGAGACAAAATGTGACTATATGAAATAAATATGCTTCAAGAGAAAGAGTTGGGTGAGAAAGGAGAGGAAAGGGCACCTCCACCGGATCACTTGTTTCATCTGTCTTGGCAACCAATCTTAACAAGAGGTAACCAACCCTCTCTCTGGAGGTACCTGTTTCTCTTGTTGAAAGTAGGGAAGCCTTTGCCAGTCATCTTTGGCAAGGCGACTTTAAAGCATCTGAGGCTTGGTGAAATGAATCTCTCCCTCATTGTCAGTCCAGTACTAACAGAGGCTGAAGGCAACGGGGTCCCAGGCACTGCCACCAGCACAGGCCTGAAGTAGAGACATTTGGGCTGCAACTGAAGCTGGCTGTCAGCTCCTCCAGTTCACGTGAGCATCTCGTGGACCTGGTGGGCCTCCTGCCCTGAGGATATTGCTGAGCTGCAGGCGCTCGTTGGAAAGTTGCCTTGTGTTTTCTCTCTAGGACTCGAAAGGGGTCAATCCTCTGTTGTCTGGTTGGTATCCACAGGCAGTGCTACTGCCGGATGTTTATGAATGCCATATATATGAAGACATAGATGATAATATTGAAAGAAACTGCAGTAAGTTGCATGGCACCTATGGTGCATGTGGATATCTGTAGTTAGAAGGCATTTTTGTAATAACTTACTAACTACACATAACCATTAGACCCATTACATAAAATGACTGTAGTAGTCTATAGTCAGCACAGCAATGCGTACACCTGAAAAGTAGTTATGAGGACATTCTCATTATCCTAGGCTAATTCGTTTTTGTGATATTGAAATGGCAGTGTTATTGTACCATTTCATTTTAATAAGGTTTAGCTGATAGGATCCTTTTGCCAGTTCTTTTAAAGGTGGCTTTTAGAGCTAAAAGACACAACGGATAAAAGGGCTTTCGCAGTATTACCTGGTTTATGAATGTTAATTCATTTTTTAAAGTTTTGGGATATTGTAAACAGAACAGAAATCTCTGATTTGACATGAAAAAGATTCATTTAAGGTTTTATCTTTTCAAAGGCACTGAGAGCACAGGCCTTCTTTACATGGATTTGAATGAAATCCATATCCTATCAAGAACCAGCAGAAGTTTCAGTAGAAGAAAATGAAAAGCCAATATATGAAAATGAGATTTTTAATAACATTTCATCAAAGAGATTTTTGAAAACCGTCAGCTGTGCATTTCTTGACATAAACCCCAGTGTAATAATGCTTCTGTCTTCAAGACCTAGTGGAATTGCAGCAAGGGCTTTTTATCTCCAAGGTATACGTGTCCCCATCTCCAAGCTTATGTATATCACACGTACCGTAACTCCCTGTCACAGTATTAACTTGTAGTATCTACAACAGTGGACAAAGAATTGCCTCCAATGAAAGCCAAACTTGGAGAACGACTTAGAAAAGGTAAATTACAAGCTGCACTTTAAATTCAACTGCTATAACTCATGCTTATCACAGCACCACAAAGTCTTTGAAGTTGTCCTGAAGGTAAATAACTGAAGCACATGAGTAAGCTAATGGCTCTAATCAGTTTTGCACTAGTTTCTGTGGTCTTCTACAGACGAGAGGGTGCTAACTAAAAAAAAAAGTTTAACATCTTCCAGGTTTTGTGTGTGTGTTTGGTTTCCTTTTCAATGTAATCTTTTCTATACATTTTAATGAGCTGTCTGGAAGAAGTAAGCTGGTTCACCTACTAAATTTATTCATAAATAATACTTTGTACACTTGCTGCATTATGCGTTACAAAGTCTATTATTTGAAGCATTATTATTAACCTCTATTACAGTTAAATTGAAAATAAAAAAAAAAAAAATTACTTACCCGTGCTATCACAACAAGGTAGTAGCAGCCTAAGTCTGGACTCTATTAGTTCCTGTCTTCAGCCCCCTATATTAGAGTACAATAATTTCTAACTGGTGCACTGTTCTCTCAAAATGTCTTCAGTATTGAAAATTAAAGCCCTGGTATTATGAGCCATACATTTGATACATTTCAGATATTGAGGCCTTTGTTTGCTGTTATACTTTGGGGCAGGCCAGACCATTATTTCATCCGAGTCTCTTGTTCATAAAAAGCTGAGGCTGTTAACTTTCTGTTGCAACACAAAACACTCAGTTCTCTCTGCAGCTTTAGCTACCATTTTATCTTTAATTTTGTATGTTGCAGACAGCTGATTATTGACAATGGCTAAATTTCCAAATAGGCAATTAAAAATAAAGAAAATAAAAATTATACTAGTCTTGAGACAGCAGCTCCAATTCTACAATCTCTTCGCTTGATTCCTTCTCACACAGTTAAGTGCCACTGTGAAAGGCTGACAAACTCTTTAATTTTATCATGCTTTAGTTCTACAGGTAGCAATCTTGGACTACCTTTTTTTTTTTTTTTTTTTTTTTTTTTTTTGCAATGCTGAACTCCATGCTTCATAACTTGGGTTGTTATCTAAAATTTTACCCCTGAATTTTCTCTTTCATTATAAATGCCTATAGAACATTTTCTTCAGTTAACCTTTAAACTGAAAGCTCTACAAATTATATTAAAATAGATTATATTAAAATTCTCCTCTGAAAGTTCAATACATACATGTATTGCCTATGAAAGCTGAAATAGGTGAATTGAAGCCAGTTTAAAAATATTAACTAGCAAATGCTTACAGTTGTCTCGGTGTAATCAACTTTAATGTCATTTTATGACTATTGAGATTATACATGTGATAGCAACTTTCCCAAATTTACACAGAGGGTAAGTATACAGAAACAAATAGGGGGGCAGAGGAAGAGAAAAGGGCCTTGCTACTACACTGTACGGCTATTCAATGTGATCACATTGGCCCAAATTCCATATACCTAAACTGGTGCTTGTGCCATTAGCTAAGACCAGGGCAAAAGTATGTGCGCTCCTGTAGGCACAGCATCTGGAAGTTCCTGAATAAGAACAGTAACATATTTCAGGATTTGACAGAAGCGAGGAAATGGGGAAAAAATTTAATGTGTTCAAGAATTTCTTTATCATACAAGTGTGCTATCATCTACAAACACCGACATATTAAAGACCAAGATGGAAACCTCAGCTCTGGAGCTTGTAAGAACTCATTTTTTTCAACCGCTATAAAGTGATTGGAGGATACAAACGATACAAAGACCTAGTCTGTAACACGTAGCAAGAGGCAGATTTAAAACCTCCTCAGTTAAAAAAGACAAGGCTAACGTTTCCAAGGACGACCAAATAAATAATGACACGATTTACAGTGATCCCCAACAAACGGTGGAAATTCAGAGGTATAAGACAAACCATTATTTAAAAATTCAGTCCTGTAGAGTAAATTTAAAACTCTATCACAAAAGATAGGCATTACAAAATCGCTGTTAAAAATTACATTTTACTGTTTGACTGTTCTGAAGAACTGCTGCTACCTAAACTCTTGGAAGAACAGTCTCTGAGGACTTCCAAAGAACTCGTGATGTCCAAGCTTTCAGAAGAAGCAGGTCTACACCCTTCCGTAGAACTGATGATGTCCAAAGTTTTGGAAGAACGGACACTGTAGCCTTTCGTGCTGGCATCTCTTATGACTATCTCCTGCATGGATGTAAACATTAACGGAATGAAGCCCTCACTGTCTGCTGTGAGAACAACCCAAGACGAACCTGTGAAAACATGAAATTATCTGTTTAGGATTTTTCCTGTAATGAGGTATATTTAAAGGTATAAAACACCTTTCTTTAAAATTGAAAGTTAAATACATCTGTATGTTCATAGGTTTTCTAGCAAGAAGTCGGGGGAGGTACAGGTGGCGCGTTCTGAAAAATAAAGGTATGTGTAAACAAATATGCAAAACAGCTTTCAGAACAATTTTCCCACCAGGAGATGAGACTATAGTAAATGTACACTTTAAATAAGGAACAGGAACGAAATCCTGAACAACATAATTCAGAAGCATCAGACTTCTGTTTCATTAGGTATTCATAGGCTATTTTATAGTTCTTAAGCTGGGCAGATACTGTACAAAACAGACCTTTATTAAAATAAAGGTCAAATTCATATAATAAAAACAATTTGGAAACAGCTTCTATTATTAGTTTATGAGAACAATTTAAACAACTCCTATTATTTCTAAGAAATACTGTACCATATTGTACAAGCCCCATGTCTCTGGTCCATTTCCTGTCTGATTTTACATTATCATTAACATTATTTTTTGATTTTGGAATTGTTTAGAGGATTAGAAGTACTGACTCTTACCAATTCACGTAAAATAGAAAATTTTTGTACTTGCATATTTTAAGGTGATGAAGTAGTACCACAGCGTCTGTCGGAATTCAGCGAAACATTTCCAGCTGTTTCATGTAGCTACATTATGTAACTTCATATTACAAGTGAGGTCAGGAAAAGATTGTGGCTTAAAAGCATACAACCCTTTAATCTTTTGGCTTAATATCGCACTTGGACAAAGCTTTAAAACCAATACTATTTAGGAATTTGAAAATACCATTGCTGCTGTGCCCATTTATCTCCTAATATTAGTCACATTCATAAAGAATCCTATTTTAACAGTTTAGTTTTAAAATTCAGTTACTAAGGCCAGTCATATTCATGATGATATTCATGATCATTACTCATTCACGGGTAACCAACTCTGTTAAGTTTACACTTTTTAAAGCTATAAGCAAGCGGTCATAACTAATGCCAGTAATGGAGACACACTCCTCTACCTGCCAGAAAGAAGTTGTTCAGATTTTACAGCTCAAGATAAAATTTCAGCGTGAAAAATTAGAAATCAATATCTACAAAACTGTCTGCACTTTTCGCACTGGGTATATCACATGCTTCTGGGTTGTGCCACGACATCATTAAACAGCTGCTGTGTTTCAATACAGATGGCTGATCTTGCAGCGACTGATCTTGCAATAAACTAACGTAAGACAGCGGTAAGGACCTTTCCAAGATTTACTTGTGAGTTATTACACTACAGTTTCCTCTAGGTTTCAGAATATTAAACATATTTTAACAATTATTTACAGAAAAATAACACTGATAATCGTAAAAAGAACAGTCTTCAGTCTTTGGAACAGTTGCTCAGTAATCTGCAGTAGGCAGATGGTAAGCTGCACTTGCCGGACTACAGTACAGAGAATATAAGTAGCAGTGAGAGATCATATCCCCAAGGTAACTTTTCTACCTTTGCTAAAAATGATACAGCTAGAATTGACACAAACATAGGCATCCAGAACGTGCACGGGATGAATGGATAATAGCAGAGAAGAAAAGAGCAGGAAGAAAGGTAGTTTCCTTCACAGTAAAAACTGAAGCAAACTTTACCACCAAAATTTACAGAGCTACTTTTGGGTTTATAAAGAGCTACAGCATTGGTTAAGAGAGACCAAAAGATGGAACTACAGATGAAAATACAGAAAACTGGGTTCTGAAACCACTGGTTGAGTCGAACCTCCTTGTTTTTCAGATTTCTCTGTTCAGAATAGCTGAAAATATAAATAAGATACTGGGTGACAGTGATTTTCCTGTATAACCAGCAGCTTCATAAGGGGGTACCAGTACACAACAGGTTTGCATAATCAGTCTGGGCTTTGACCGAGAAGAATTTTTCTGTTATAACGAGTAATTTTTTACTAATACCTTTTCATTACTTGTTCCTTGTTTTTTTTTCCCACATTAAATTATGCACATTGCTATTGGATTGAGAATATCGCATGTCTTTTAAAATATGTGTATTACTGGATAATTACAACATACCATGTTGCATTTCTACAAGAGAGAGGTTGAATATTTGCTGGACTACACTTAGACGAAGTTTACCATCACAAAGAATAACAGCTCGCCTTTCATCTGAACCATTTCTGGAAAGCTGCTTCTGTAAATTGAAGAAAGAACCATTAGATACAGTGATTTACGTTTAAGTAGACATATCAGAATGACATTCATCAAAACAGGATCACAGCTATGCCTTCACCTACATCATTTACAAAAAAATCAAATGCTACATTCAGATGAATTTTCAAGATTTATACTTTGAAGTCCCAGCTCTCACAAAGAGATGACCTGTGCCAAGTCACTATGTGCAAAAATCAGCATCTGTCAGAACTACAGAAGAAATCATACACTGCTGCTAAAGAAAATAACCAGCTACAACCATAGCATAATCCAGACTCTCATCCTATCACCTGTGAGGAACATCTCACTGAGAAGTCTGTAAAGCAGCAAGTTTTCTCCCTTCCCTCCTCCCTCGTCCACGTATTATGAAGAGCTGAGAACTCCTATCCATAGACGTTTGCAACGGGGAGCAGATTAACAAATCAGAAGCGCTCGTCTATCACACCTGTAATCATCACTGCACAAAGCCTTAAAATCCAAATAGCATCTTCAGAAAATATCTCCCATGTGGCAGAGCAAAGCATTTTTGAAATACGCAAAAAATAAATTGTTACAAAATCTACAAACTGTTTCTAGTACAGGATAAAATTCACACAGCCATGTCACTTCCCAGAGAAGCCTTGATAACATCAGATAGGATAAATACTATAACGTAAATTCTGTTTCTGCTTCCATGCTGTGGACTGACCCATCCATGCCCGACAAGAGTTCTGTCGGAGGGGAGTTCGGAGACACACACATGCTCTTTGCCTCCCACACTGATAAACCTGCCAGTACCCTCTGAAGGACACTGCTCCCTTAAGGTCCTTTGGATTTCTTCAACAATTTGGAAAATACAGCTAATAACTTGGGCACCAGAGAAACGGTCAAGGGGTCCGATTCATTGGAGAAGCGCGTGAGGTGAGAATCCCCGTTTCCCTGCTAATGATTTCCATGTCAAATATACGCAGGCTACAGTTAAAACACAAGATTTTCTGCCAGAATTTCCAACTTCACTCATAATTTGAGAGTCAAATTCTTTTCTTATCACAGATCATCAGTGATCAAAATCCATAGACTACATTGTAGCCTTGCTTTCATTTGCAGAACATGCTCATACAAGTATAACTATTCTAGCTCTTGGAACGTGACCACAAGCTAGGCTAGAATGTAATTCACTTCCCAACGATCTGTAAAAAGAGAACGGAATATAACAACATAATAAAATCTTGTGCTACCTCAAACACAAAGTGGGCCTCTAAATAAACATCTCAGATAGATGGGAGAGCAGACTCGTTGATGAAAACTGTCACTTTTCTATGGCCATTGTCCAGAGTTTAATTAAGATTAAAGAGAGGTAGAAAAATTAGAGTTACTATAATTATTAAATGGAGAACGGCAAAGACAGTGAGGGAATATGGTCTAGGGCCTAAGAGGTCAGTGTTACAAAAGCAAAGAACAATTATTTTTAGCAATAATAAAGCCATCAAATAAGTGTTTATCAAAAAGAAAGGGCAGTTTAAATGTCTTTGAATATTGACTAGGGATAAACTAATATCACCTCTAAAAGAGGACTAGTGGATCTTGTGCCATATTTTGACAATCTGGTAATTTACACTTTCTAGCATGAGATTCAGAAGGACCTTCTTTCAGCTAAGGAAAAGAAACAAACAAGATAATTCAGAATTCTTGCCTTTCACATCAAATATGATCTTAATGCCATTTTAAAGCTGTGTTAATTAAATGATCTGTTGCATCCTAGAGGGTCTCCTTCCTGCTCAGATGGTACTTTCAATATTAATTAGCAAGATTTCAGTTTCAGAGACAAAGCAGTTTTTTGGTTTTTGTCCCAATTATACGAGCCCTCCCACAAGAGGACAGGAGATATGACTCAATTCCTGTAAATGGTAGTTTTCACTGCCTACTTTTATAAGCAAAAAGCTTCAGAAATTGCTTAGGAAAAACATTAACTTCCTCAAACTTTACCTAAAACTTTAATTCTGCTACTGAAGTGTCATGCATGGGTTCTTTGCACTCTCATCGGCTTCCGCATACAAAGACAAGACGTGCCTCCTTGGGTAACATCCAACCGTTTCAGCCCAAACATGAGGTGAGGATATGGAATAGCATACATTCCTGAATATTACATCACTTTAAAAACAATAAAAGTTTGTAGAGTAAAGGGACTGTAGATGACATAAATCTAATCCTATTGATCATTAAGTGATAACTTTTTTTTCCTAAAAATACTGTTTTCAGCACAGCTACAGACAGGGGTGTACAAATGAAAGCACTCCTAGAGTATCCATGTGAAATGACAATAATTTTAATTGAAAGATTACAATTTCCCTCATTTTATCTCCTGTCAGAGAAAAGTACTAATATGCAGTTTTAAAAAGCTGTAAATAGGGACTGCGATACAGTTACAGTAAGGCTATGGAAAATGTCCATAAACAGGTTTTATCATTAAGGCTTCTAAAATTAAAATTACCTGATAGGTGATGTTAATAAAAGAGGGTTCCTCAGAAGATGGGTAGGCTGGAAGACTTCTCTTCCCAGATTTTAGCAGCTCAGTTAATTCAGAGAGATGATGCTGTAATTCCGTAAAGTTACCAGACAGTTTTTCTATATTTTTCGAAAAGTAACTTGCTTCCTTTTCACTTAACAGTAAGTTATTCTTAAAAGAATTTGGTATATTGGAAGCTGCATCCGTCTGCCTTTTTGGAGATGTTGGCTTGTTACAAAACGCCAGTGGTGTGGCAGACAGTGCCACGGACCGATTAACTGGTTCAGCATCCAGAGACTCAACAGCTGGAGGAAAATTCATGGAAATCTTTTTTTCTTTGAGGTCACTCACATTCAACAACAAGCCTTGCTCATAAGTGGGGCTCTTAATTTCTTCAATGAGTTTTCTTCTGCTGGTAGGGGACTGAATAGCAGCACGACCTGGTATCAGGAGTCCACTGTTTTGAGGGTGAACGTCTGTAGAAAAGTCTTGAGGTATGCTGGAAAGAAGATTAAAACTGGAGCTCACATTAGCTGATGCAGGCGTTGAAGGATACACTTCAAATATTAGTTCCTTAATCATCAAGCGGATCATGTACTTGTCTGATCTTGAAGATGGAAGAAATGCAGGGTCAGTGAATTTTTGTTTTCCAACCATTATTAACAATAATTTATTGGTCAAGAAGCACAAACCCTTTGGCTTTTCATTCTTCTCTAGCTGAATTTGTTGAATGTTGGGTAAATTGGATGAAGTCAGTGAATACACTAAAATAATATTACAAGTATTGGACGCAACTGATACAGTTTGAGTTTTGGGGTCAAAAGCCATTATATCAGGAACCAGAATGCCTGGGACGCTAACTTTTTTGGTAGAGGTAACTTTCCTTTCAAAAGTCACCAAGATGAGATGAGACGAATCTTGGCCACTTCCTGTTAGGTAGTCCTTGGGCCTCAGGTGAAGAAGAGGACTGGAATCGGCAGCCTGCTTGCTAGAAAGTATGTGAGTGAGATCCACAGGAGATGTAACAACAGACGCAGGCTTCTCTGAGTCCAGTGATTTTTTCCCCCCATCCATGGAATGCTCTTCCTCGCCACATAAGCTAGACTGTGAGGGAAAAGAGTCTGTTTCAATGCTTGTTGGAATTTCAAACGCAACACCAGCATTTAAGCCACAGATTTTGTCTAGAGGAAGTTCTGTAGCAACAGCCACTTGGAAATTCAGTGTAGCTTCTATAGCACAGATGTAGCCTCCCACATCAAAGACTGGGCAAAAAGAGCAAGCATTCAGTGTTTTCTGAGCATCATCCCATATATAAGAATGAAGGGCACTGCCTACTCCGACTACCAAACGATTGCCTTCCTTAGTCCAACAAGCACAATGGATGAGACCGCTGCCTTTAATATCTGCTTTAATTCTCAAGTTGTTGAGATGAACAGAGTGCAAGACTGAGGCATCCCGTGTAGTTAGCACAGCCAAGATCTCCTTCTTCGGATGCCATACGCAGCCTTGGGGCAGCACTGGAAATGGCTCACCGATGTCACATATCTGAGAAACTAAAAGCTTATTTCTTTCTGCAGCATTAAAACAGAGCTGCCAAACAGTGATATGCTTTTTATGTTGAACAGCAAGCAGAGCTGGGGTATCAGCAGGGCACGGGCCCCAGTAGAGTCCATGAACGTGTTCGAACTGACCAACAACACTTGAGTCACCAAACTTCGGTTCTCCATTATGAAGATGTAAAGAAGTTAGTATGACCTGTTTCCCATCTGTCCAGGCAATGCCATGCACAGGGTGAATTGCTTGGTACAACGCATTAAGGCCAGTTCTCAGAAGCTTTGCCTTTCCTAGCTCCATGATTTTTAATGTAACACATCTGAAAATAGAAAGAAAAGAAAGAAGATATTGCTCTAGAGGATAGAAGAAAAATAAATGATTATTTAGCTTATCACCCTGCCAATGTCAGGCTCTTCCTTTCAGTAATGTCAATATACGCACAGTGTTCATCCATGCTTAAACTCTAACCCTAGAGCTTTTCATTTATAGGTTTTCCACTGCGAAACGCCCTTTTAAAAGAAAGAATTTTTGCTCTCTTTACCTGGATTAAATCTGCTGCATTTTCATCACAAAACTAGTCCTTTCAACTTTAATTGACAGGTTGCTGGTTCTCAGAATATTTTGTGATGACTTTTAGCATTAAGAATGTTAAAACTATCCCCTATCTCTGACTCTGTCTCATGGACCATTTATGGTCAGATAAAGTAATCTTTTGCACACGTGACAAAGCATTAATACATCACCTATAAATCTAGTCCTACATTAGGCAGGTGAGAACCAGGTATTTGGATCATTATACCAGAAAGCCCTCTGGAAGAGTAAATGAAATTTTGAAAAAGGTTAGAATTAAAGTAGCTATTTCTAGGAAAATATAGGACACAGACAGTGAATGGGAGGGATCCACAATCTTCTCCTAACGCTCCTCCAGAAAGGAAGAATTTAAAAGAACCTGGAACAGAGAAGGGGCATAGAACCACCTATCGAAGGTCCTAGCTGTACTGTGATAGCACACAAACAACTAACAGTCTTTAACGTTCTCTAATGCAGTGATTTTCATTTTCTTTTCCTAAATGTTCAGTGGCTTTTTGTCCAAGTCCACAAACCATCTTGCAGCCCACTACCATTTGAAGGGATGACAGCAGTTAGCAGCTAACTATGCCTGCAGACAGGCATTACACATGCCTGCATACCCATAAGTTCATTTTCTAAATATCTGCAGTAATTCCTGGGAAATCTTTATTTCTTATCGACTGTTGCCTGGCTATTGCTTCAGAGTACTTACTTTCATAACATCCTGCGAAGCAGAAACTACCATTTTATACGCAAGAAGTAAAAGCCCAGGAAACGTGAATTTCAGTATTTTTGAAACAATAAGTTATGTGATTTGCCCGATGTCTCGAAAGAAATTATTATTCTAAGTAGAGAGAACTGAAAAGGCTTCAAGAGGGAGAACGGGCAACAGCTGGGAAACCTCCTTCTCCATAGTCTGTAGCTTGGTGCCTGGGACATACAAAAGCCCTATGCAAGGCACCAACATTTCAGAAAGGCTCATACATTTCCAGGTTCTGAGCTGTGAGCAATCCTACTCTGTGCACAGAATCCAATTCAAAGAAATAGAAGGTTCCCTCACTTAGGCTCCTCCATAGGATCTAACTCAACTCAGAGTCACAGCAGAGAAGTAGTTGCAGCTTTAGCAGGAAACCTGAAAAATAACAGGAAAGTATTTGAGAGTTCAAGTGGAAGGGTTTAATCACAGTGTGCCTGGAACTACTTGATATTTTAATTATTTGTAGATGATCCCAAACTTGGAGCTGGGGGAGTGGAAGAGTGGAAAAAAAAAAAAAAAAGAGTTATGATGAGATTATGATGACTGAGACAAAAAGTTTCTCATCAACTAACAAAAAGTACAAAGTACTTTACTTAGTAAATAAATAAATAAAATGCATGAATACCACTTCAGGAATAATTGCCTGGGTAGTATTATACCAAAAAACGATCCGTCTTACAGTGGATCACAAATGGATACGTCAGCAATGTGACAGCGCTGCCAAATGAGACAGCATCATTCCTGAATGTTTTAAGGCGGATGCCGTACACAAGGGAAATGATTCCCGCACTACCTTCTGAGCTAACGAGATCTCCACTGGAGTGCTGCGGCTAGTTCTGAGCGTAACACCTCAGGGACGATGGAAACGACTGAAAGAGTTCAAAGACCAAGAAATAAGAGAAGAGGGTTCACTCAAGTTAGAGAGTACTGTGCGAGTGGAAACATGCAAACACATACTAGGTTGTTAACAAGAGAACAGTGATCTATTGTTCTCCCTGTCTACCGTGGGTAGTGTAAGATAATAATCAGCTTAGTTTCAACAAGGGAGATTTAGGTCAGCTATTAAGGAAAAATTCTAACTATAAACAATAGCTAAGCACTGAAACAGGTAACCTCCGGGAGGGAGAGAGGGCACTCCACGAATTTCTTAATCTTTAAGAGGTGGTTAAGTAAACGTGTATCCAGGATAAGTTTCAGCACACTGGAACCTGCCTCCGGTAAGAGAAGAGTCGAGACGCTTCCAAATCAACTCCCATCTTCCCGGCACCTCTCCGAAACCCAGCGCAACTGACCTCAGCCTCGCTAAGCGACCATCGCGCGCGGTAACACAAGGCGCTTGCGGATCGCTCTCAAGTAACCTGCATCACGCGTATGCTTCGCTATACTTACTCATGCCAGGGAGATGATAACTTGCCTCCCGAGATATGCTGAGGCGCTAAGCCTCCCGGGCCACCTGGAGAGTTTCCTCTGGTGCCGGCGACGTTTCACTTCACCCCCAGCACACCTGCAAGAGCGCAACCAGAAAGAGCCCCGCCGGCCGTTGGGTTCAAACCCCGCCGGGGCCTCCAGGCCC